AGAATACATAAAATAGGCAGTGAGGTATCAAAGGAAAATATTTCATCCTGAACAAAGCATACTTCTGGTTTAACAGCTACAAGAAGAGAACTGTTTGTTGTAACATCACAATTAGAAGGGTGGGTATCTATCTGCAGGGCCGGGCAGGGAAGCATGGAAGAAGTTCCTGGCAAAGTTAACTGAAATCACTGAAGAGGAAGGCTACCATTTCCAAACAGGTGTCTGACATCAATGAAACAGGACTTTTTGTAATCTAATGCTGCCACAAATTTACAATGTCAAGAAATACAAATCAAGGCCTAGGTATGAAGCAGAGGTGGTTGAATTGTTAGATTCTCAAAGGAACTCAGCCATAAAGATTTTATTGAAATATAAGAGCAATGGGTCATTGTTAGAGTTGCCATAGAAATTATCCCACTCTAAACATTCACAATGTGTCAATACATATCTCATCAACAACAAAAATTTTTCAGGAAGATGACCCTACTTTAAAATGTACTTGGAAAGTGCTGAGAGTGATAAAGAATACTTATGCTTACTCAATTAGTATTTAGCAGAAAAATATGGCATCTACATTAGAAACATCAAGAATTTATACATTTTCTTTTATATTTTAAATTGAGATATAATTCACAGGCCATATAATGCACTCTTTTAAAGTGTATAATTCAGTGTTTTTTCATATTCACAATGGACATCTTAGGCGAGCCCATAAGGGACAATAATCCTCCAAAAGAAGCATTTATGATGCAGAACTTCTATTTAGTGTTTTGTTTCACATAGCTAATAAAGGAGTTTTTTTTAACGTGCATTTGTATTTTCTTTTCTTTATCAATTTTGGTATTTTTACACTGTGAGATGAGTTTTCTGGAACAAATTCCAATACACAGGCATACCTCATTTTATTGTGCTTTGTTTTATTGGGCTTCACAGATGTTGTAACTACAGAGCCAATTCAAAATGGTACCATCCTGTGTTGACGAGGTGCTAAGTTGCTTTTCAGAGACAACAGACCGAAACCACAAGTCATGCAGCAGAAGCATGTGCAGAGGAGAGAAGTTTGGCCTCCAGCTGCACCTGGAACCAAAGTCTCGGTCTCCCCGCCCCCACTCCCACCCCTCCACACACACAGAACCAAAGGATCAGGACATGACCAGAACTTGAACACCGAACTCTTTCAGAAGCCAAGGATTCATTGTCCAGGATGCTCTGATATTGATGCCCCTTTATCATAAATGGCCAAGTTCCGAGGTCCTCCAGTTAAAATTCGTCCTGCCAGCACTTCCATACACCTGTTCCCTCTAGCCGGTTAAAAGCCCTTGGCCTGGTCCAGCGAGCAAGGAGGATTCGAGACACATTAAGCCTTCCATCTTCTTGGTTGGTGACTTCTCGATCAAAAAATCTTTCCTTATTCCAAGCTGACCTTTTGAGTTTTGGCCTTTCAAAGTGTCAGGCACAGGGACTTTGATTCAGTAACAATGTTTCAGTTTTTAAAATTGAAGGCAAGACTCTCCATCAGCAAAAAGATTACAGCTCACTTTATTGCGATATTCACTTTATTGCAGTAGTCTGGAACTGAACCTGGGATATCTCTGAAGTATGCCTGTATTATATTGCAATAATAGAATATGAGTTTACCTTAGGAGAGATTAATGCCTGAACCTGGTCCAGGAACCTACAGGGTCCAAATTACTTGCAAACAATGATTGTTTACTTTAGAAACTCAAGAGAATAAAATGAGAAATAGTTAGAATTCATAAGAGTTCAGTGAAGTGGCTAAATACAAGACAATACATGCAAAGATGAATTTTTTTCTGTATACTGATAATAACCAATTAAAAGATAATAGGGAAAAGATCTACAAAATTTATTGAAATAGTCAACTATAAGTGAATATANGGGGGAGGAATTGGAGGTGGTCAAAGAAAGTTTCCTCAAGGGGATGAAATCAGAGCTGAGAGCTGAAGGGCAAGCTAGGATGAGCCTCGTGAAGACAGACAGGAGGCATTTCCGGCAGACGAGCACAATGTACAGAGACACACAGACAAGAGAGAACTCTGCACCGTTAGTATGGCAGAACAGTACGAGGAAGGGGTGGGGAGAGGGGAAGCTAGGCGGCTAGGCAGGGCTGGAGCGCAGAGGCCATGCTAAGCGCTGCGGTACAAGCTGAGGAGCTCTGAAAGAGTTTTAAAGAGGAGTGACATGTCCAGATATGCAATTTAAGAAGATCACTCTGGATGCTGGTACCATAAAGGCAGTTAGGTTGCCTGATTACTTTCTCCCCATCACAGGACAATGCGCAGCAGCTCCCCGCAAAGGGTTCAGTTAGGAGGGTGGGGTAGGCTGCAGGTGCTTGGGTGCTTGGATTATTGTCCTGTAATGGGGAGACCGTAGAGGTTTCCCAACTTGGTGAGGGTTTCACTGGGGAGAGTTTCCTAGGAGAACTCACACTTCTGTCCTTCCCTTTATAGAGCATACCTTGTCCCTTCCTATACCTTTGGAGAGAATGAGGTTTACAATCAAGAGATCTTCCCTGAGGGCACGTGGATAAGGTTCATCCAAAAGTCCTTCCAGAGCACATTAAAAAAAATCATAGGACTAAATTTCTGCATCTTCCATGGCCGGGGCTTCACTCAAGAATCCTGGGGCTTACTGCCTTTCAACCTGCCCATTACCACTGTTGGTGAGCTTTCCAGTATCTCTGAACCACACTGCTCCTTGATGTCCCCCACCCAAGTCATACATCAATTCCCAGGGGACCTGGCATATAGCTGGGATGGGTAATGGGGATTGCAGTGGGTGCGGTTGAGGGCAGGGTGGGGAAGACAACTGAACAGATAAGAATTGTGGCCATTCACTGGTGGGACAGAGTTCAAGAGCTGCCATGAGAGCATCCTTATTCATTTACATTACTTCAACAGTCTCCTGTGCTTGCTCTCATTATTCTTTTGAGCATGTGTGAGATTAGGTGTTTGGAGAACATGGGACAGGATGGGGCTGGAGCAGAGGGAAAAATCAAAGGAAGGGGAGGGGACCCAGATACTGAGTTTCAGTTGTGTGGCTCCCTCTGAGGGATGGGTAACTTGATTTGGGAGGGAGCTCTAATGCTTGTCTCTTCTTCCCCATAGTTGGGGAGCCCCTGCCAGTCCCCAGGATTCAGAAGCCAAACAAGAAGATAGTGGACAAGTACCACACACTCTACATCAGTGCCCTGCGCAAGCTGTTTGACCAGTACAAAGTTCAGTATGGCCTTCCTGAGACCCAGGAGCTGACAATCATATAACAGGAGCTGACAATCATATAACAGGAGCTGGATTCCCTTATTAACCCCCCAAAGCACTGAGGGATCCAAGTAAGGCCACATGGCATGAAGACTATGGGGAGGGGGAGGATCTCAGGGATGGGTGAGGAGGCCAAGCAAGCCACAAAGTACTTCAAGAGGGAATGAACCAGAGGAGCAGGGTAACATTGGGCAACAACCCAGTTTCACAAGAAGCGTCTTGTGAGTTCACAGATCTTTTTTGCCCTCTGAATCCAGCCAATTCTCTGATAAGAGAAATGAGAAGACAAATAACACCGTGCTCCTTCCTTCTGAGCCTTAGTGATGCCATCACTATATAGGTTTAAGCATAAAAGCCTTGTTGAGAACAGGGGTGGTTGTTTCCTCCTAGGCCCTTCCTTACAATTTGGGGGCCACCACAAGATAAACCTGGGACTGGAGCCATGGTTTTCTGATCCAAGCAGACGGGATTCCCTTAGTGATGACACAGTTCTCCAATGGCAAAAACTTTTGCATGCAGTTATGCTGTTTCTTTCATAAAAATAAAGCTCTAGATAGATAAAACTAGATATGACTATTTTCTATTTACTCTGTGGTCCACTGCTATACTTCCCTCAAACCCAGCCACAAATCTGGTCTGTGGAGAGCCATTTTCCTCTGTTTCATCCTCCCTCTATACTGCTCCTGACAGAGAATGTTAGGGAGTGGAACCATAACTGCTGCATAGTGTAGGAGACAGGAGCAGAACTGTGGGAATTGACACAGGTTCTCACCGAGCAGCTCACATGTCTTCATCCCACAGAGCTACCCTGGGTTGGAAGGGAGGGAGCCCCAAGACCATGCACCTGCTGTAAATCTACTTTATGTCAAGTACCTACTCTGTAGCAGGGACTATGCTGTCGTTTTCACAACCTTTGCCTCTTAATGCTAACACCAGCCCTGTGAGATTGCCATCATCTCCATCTCACAGTAGCTAAAACCCACAGAAGTTGAATAACTTGCCCAAAGCCACATAGATGGATAGAACTAGCATTCAAACCCAGGTCTTATTAATTCTAACCAAAGCTCGTTCTAACGCACCAACCACCACACCTCCCATTCCTCATTTCCTGGAGACCTATTATTATGCTTCATTTTCCTCAGTGAGGTCCCATGGCACCCCACTTAAACTAGTTCATAAGTGTGGGCAAAAATGACATGGATTCTACTCAGAGTGATCCCAGGTTAGGCCTCAGGGAAAATAATTTATTATTTAAAAACCTTTTTATATCAATAGATTAGAATTAAGAGTCAAGCAACAAACCCATGCATTTATGGTCAATTGCATTTTGCCAAGGGTGCCAAGATAATTCAATAGAGGGAAAGAATAGTCTTTTCAATAAATGATGTGGGGGCAACTGCACTTCACATGGAAAAGGATGAAGTTGTGAAACCTACCTAACAAAAGAAAAAAATAGATAAATTGGACTTCATTAAAATTAAACGCTTTTGTGCTTCAAAGGACACTATCAAGAAAGTGAAAAGACAACCCACAGAATAGGAGAAATTTGTAAACCATGTATCTGATAGGAGTCTAGTATTCCGAACGTATGAAGAACATTTATAACTCAATGACAAAAAGACAACCCAATCGAAAATGTTGCACACCTGAAACTCATATAAAGTTATAAACCAATGTTATCGCAATAAATAATGGGCAAAGATGAGTCACCGGTGACGGCGTAGGCTGCAGCCCCTGCTGCAATGGGCTGCCATAAGCTACTGTGTGTGGCTGGCAGCCAGCGTGAGCAGCCGGCACCTTGTGTGAGCTGCCAAGAGCCTCTGTGAGCGGCCGTCCAGAGGCCGGCGACCGATCTGCCTCCTCCAGGAAGAGCACACGATAATACCAACATGGGCCAGTGAAGCGACGTCCTCCACAACTAGACTGAAGAACAAAAGGACAGCAACTTGTCTGTTCCCCTTCCCCAGATTACCCAACACTGTTCCCCTCCCCCAATTCCCCAATAAAATCTTTTTTAAAAAATGGGCAAAGAATTTGAATAGACCTACTCTCTTCCATTGAAAATACACAAAATGANTCCTGTGGCTGTATAACGTTAACAAAAGAGTATCAAGAGGTCCAATGAAGAGAAGTTGTTGGGGAGTGAGGGAGGAGCCCCCAGATCCAGGATTATCATAGGCAACCCACCGTTTTGGGGCCTCCACAATAGAAACCACCACAGCCTCAAGGCAGAATGTCTGAAGAAAAACTAAGACGTTTTTAGAGCTTGATCTCCAGATCTCAGGACCTGGTGGAGCTTTTTCTAAACAACCAGTTTTCCTCTTTTCCCCAGTAACTAGAAGAAAACTAATGTTAGAGATGTAGGGCAGGGAGCTGGTGAGTCAGAAAACAGTAGTCGAGATGATAGCTGGAGGGTGACTCCACCCTGTTGACAAACCCAACTGCCTGAAGGTAAGCCAGGAGACAGCCCAAAAGCATCTGTGCAAACAAGTCCTCCCTGAAGACAAGCAGAGTCTGGGAGATGCCTTATTCCTTATCTCCAAGATCTCTCCCATCATATGACAGATACAGGTCATCACAGCACATGCTGTTTGTAGAGGATTAGCAGTTCAGCAAATGTGTCAGGCTGACTTGTCCCACGTCATTCAGTGCTTTCAAGCTATCACAACACTAGCCTTCCACTATTTTCACAAATGCTCTTACTATGCGACAGGCGCTGTTCTAGATGCTGGGATTGTAGCACTGCATAAAACAAAACCCTTGCCCTCACAGAACTTACATTCTAGTTGGAAGAGGCAGAAAATCAAGCCAGCAAGCACACCACCAGATAGTGATAAGTGCCATGAAAAAAAATAAAGCCAATAAGGGATCTGTGTGTGATGGGGAGACCTATTTCAGCTAGGGTGGTGAGCGAGGCTTTCCCAAGAAAGGCGCTATTTAAACAGAGATCTCAATGAAGTGAGATACCAGTCATGTTAACACTGGGGGTAGATCAGTCCTAGTAGAGGGACCAGCAAGGACAAAAAGCCTGAGATGGAATCTACTTGACAGGATCAGGGGACGGCGAGAATGCCTGGTAACTGGTTGGCATAGAATGAATAGGGAGCAAATGGGAGATGAGGTAAGAGGGAGTCAAGGGCTAGATCAAGTACGACATTACGAGCCAATGTGATAGTTTTGGATTTCCTGCTAAGTGAGATGAGAAGTTGTTGAAAGGTTTATAACACAAAACTAGAGAGAATAGTATAATGAACGTTGTCCATAAACTTATCAATTATTTCAACAATTATCGAGATACTGACACTTGCTTCGTCTATTCCAACTTTCCCTTTTTTAGCTGAATTGTTTTAAAACAAATCTTACCTTTATGTGTCCCATGCATAAAAACGACGACCATTTTTTACATAACAATAAGGCCATTGTCACACCTAAAAAAAATGACTATCATTCCTTAGCATCATCTCATACTCAGTCCATAGTGAGATTGCCCTCATTGTTTTTCTTTACAGTTGGTTTATGACATCCCACAAATTATTTTAATCTAGAAAAGTCCTCCCTCTCCCATCCACCATTTTTTCATACCATTGACTTCTTAGAGAAACTAGACCATTAACCTGTAAAAAGTCCCATGTTCTGGATTTGTCTGTTAGCCTCCTTATAGTGTCTTTTAACTTCTTCCTTTATTCTTCCTATGTCCTATAAACTGGAAGTTAGCCAGAGTCTTGTTTACACCCAGGTTCAACTTTGGAGGTAAGAATACTCTATAGGTAGGTACTTCACATTGGGGCTACCCCCCTTTTAGTGTTTCTAAGATTGATTCAAAGTGTGGGTGGTGATAATCTGATATTTTCCTTGTGACAGTCCACATTGACCTTTCAACTCATGCTTTTAGCAGTCAGTGATGTTCCTTGCATGACCCAATTATTTCATCACAGGTTGTACAATGTTTTTCTATTTCTATAATTCTGACCACACTTGTTAGTTCACATAATGCAATATACTGATAAGTCTCATTCCAACTATACCCTTTCTAGCATGTTCCTTCCCTCTCCCTACAGGTAAGCATTTTTGTTAATTTGGGTATTTTTCCTTCTAGAGTTTCTTTTGCAATGAGAAGCATTTTTATGTACACATTACATTTGTATCCCTCCTTCTTGACAAAAAGTTGCATTACTGTATATGCTATTCTGTATCTTCCTGTTTTTACTTAAATATATCCTGGAAATCATTCCATATCTGTATCTTCAAATCTTCTTCATCATTGGTTTTGATCAGGAGAATGAGAAAATCTGACTTATAGTTTAGAAGCTTTCCTCTAGAGGGCTTGTAAAAAATAGATTTGAGGGGCCGCCCGGGTGGCTCAGTTGGTTAGAGCATGAGCTTTGAGCATCAGGGTTGCCGGTTCAATTCCCACATGGGCCAGTGAGCTGCGCCCGAGCTGAACTGCCGCTGAGCTACCAATGGGCAGCCGGATGGCTCAGCTGGTGAGAGTGGATGCTCTTAACAATAAGGTTGCCGGTTTGACTCCCACATGGGATGGTGGGCTATGCCCACCTGCAACTAAGCTTGAACACGGCACCTTGAGCTGAGCAGCCGCGAGTTGCCGACGGGCAGATGGATGGCTCAGTTAGTTAAAGCATGTTCTCTTAACAACAAAATTGCCAGTTCGACTCTCGCATGGGATGGTGGGTTGTACTCTCCCTCGCAACTAGTTTGAAAGTGGTGACTGGACTTGGAGCTGAGCTTGCGCCCTCCACAACTAAGACTGAAGGACAACAACTTGACTTGGAGCTGATGAGTCCTGGAAAAACACAATGTTTCCCTTCCCTAATTCCCCAACACTGTTCCCTCCCCCAACTCCCCAATAAAATCTTTTTTTAAAAATAGATTTGAAAAGGGCAAACACCAAAGCAGGGAGATCTTTAAGAGGCTGCTACAATTATCTAGGGAGATGTGGTGATGAGCCATCTTGGGTCATGTAAACCACCCCAACACCCTAGGGATGAAGAGGTCTGGGCCCCTAACAACTTCACTGAGTACCTGCACAATAGCTCAGACACCTCGCAGTGTCTGAAAGGGAGAGAAATCGATCTTTATCTTATTTAAGCTACATTTTTTTTTTAGATCTCTGTCACATGCTCTGGACCTATACCCTAACTAATGCAAGTCATTCCAGTTCTAACATGTTCTGATTATTATGACTGTGAGTCAAGACAACAGGCTTCTTTTCTTGACTGTACTGGTCACGTGACCTTGAGCACAGAAGAGGTGTTCCAGGAAGAAGGAATAGCATGGATAAGGTTTCAGGGGTTGTGTAACTTGGCCATTATCTCATAAGCAATAGAGAGCCCCTGAAAGTTACAATAGAAATTTTCAAAAGATAAAGTGGGTAGTAGTACAGAAGAGAAGAAAAAGCAGAAACCAGGAGACCAGAATAGG